GGTCGCGAATTTTACTGTTTCAGACCGCCCAAGGGATAGGGGATTTCCTCTATCGTAATGTTATCCAGCACTGGATGAGATGCGACACCTGCAGCTAAACAGACCCCCGCCTTATGCCCCAGTTACGGCTATTCCAAGACACACAAAAAAATTAGGCGTGCTGTGGAGGACCCCTCCTTTGGTCCCGCAATTGTTTTTTCTTTTTCCCCTGGTATTGGTGATCGGGCTGCCTTCGCGTTCGATACCTGGCCACTCGGGCTCGCGCCCCCCCCAAAAGGCCCCGTGCGGTCCCTGGCGTAGTGCACCCTCTTTGGTTTTCACAAGTGCTGAGTGACCCCCCTCGGTGAGAGCTGTCCACCGAAATTGCGTTTGGGAACCAGGAGATATGACTCTGAAGGAGTGTATAAATTATCTCTTCTAAGTATTGCGAACGCCGGTTAATATCTGTCTGGGAGGCACTTTACATACCAGTCTGGCGCTTTTATAATCTGCCTGTGTTTATTGTAGAATGAGTAATCCATAGGGAGGCGCATAACATAGTTAGCGAGTTAGCGGGATTTTGCAGGTGAAAGTACAGTATACTTCGGTGGGGGCGACAGTGGTAGAGCTTGAAGAAGTAAGACAGGAAAACAGGAGCCACTCATGGGAAAATTAAGAGAGCCTTGTACCCAGGCCGAAGTTACTAGACTCCAGACACAATCCCGATTATATACATTCCTTTACTTTTCCATCCCGGGCGTTGCTCGTATACTGGTGGTAGGACAGGTAAGAAATGGAACGCGGGCTAAGAGGCAAGCTGGAAAAGATCTATAAGGCTTTTTCATGACCGAGATATCGTCGCTGCTTGATGGTCGGGTTAGTATCGCATTGCAGGGCACGGAGGTTTTCAGAGCACGACGGAAGGTCAGCTACGCCCCCGTTGCTCCGGGATACGCAACTTATCATTTGGAGGTTTTTACCCGAGTCGAACTAAGCGGGGTCGCGGGCGGCATCACCACCTCTACCACTTACTCCCTAGCCTCCCGAGTATCCAGGGTTCGGCCATATCCATCAATGCCGGACTAAATTTATTCAAGTTGTATCATATGTCACGACAATATACTCCTCCCCCGTACTGTGAGGGTGAAAAATGTGTTTGCTTTGTTTTTCTTTTTCTCTCTTAAGCTCTGGGTTTTGTACGAGGGCGGCCGATAAATATATTCGTCACGTGCTTTATCTGAGGACAAATCGCAGCCAAAAGGTGCACCGAAACCTTCTTATCAGACTCACGTGACGGATATATCTATGATATCGGCCGCACTCGTACTGTTGAGTTAGGTTTTTTTGGCTGTTAGGGTTTGGTTGTAACTGGCCATGGTGGTGTGCTGTGGACCAGATAGGACCTAAAAGTGATTTTTTTCCTTCATCCTCCCTCTTCAGACAAGAGGCGAACCCAATGAAGAGCTGCGGAAGAGAACTCAAGGAGACAATGAACGGAAACGAAGTCAACAACGAACACGAAAGCCTGTACCTACGTTTGATAATTCTTCTTTGGTTGTTTTTTCATTTCTTTACATCAATTGATCTGTACGGCCCTGATTTCGGAACTCCTTTTCTTGTGTGGGGTATCGATTACCAGTTTGATTTTGTAAGTGAGTGAAGCTTACCCGATTTGTGTGTTTGGTTTTCCGACCCCGATCTGTCCCTTTCAGTACTAATACGATGGTTCCTTCATTGCTATTTGCCGTATATTTCGTCTAGAGAAAGCTAGCTTGTTAGCGGAGAGCTCTGGGAAGCTCACGCGTCTCGTCATATATAGTGGGTCATTCCCCTCTGCCCCCACAGTCCTATAGCCGGAGAGTCGTTAAAACACAGTAATCATCGGATCCCGCTCTTCGTTGCACTTTACTGTTAATATTTATTTTTTCTCTGAGCTATCAGGTATTATTGGAGCACCTATGGTTATTAATGAGATTGAAGAGGTATCACACCTCGGCTGGCAGTTTATGATCCAAGAAACCAGCACCGGTAGACATAAACACCAGTTATATCTCTTGGCATAATGCTGGTAAATTCTTAGTGTGCTAGCCCCACACCTCCGTGCTCGTACCGACCACCATTGCCTCCCCTACACTTCCGCCACAGGTTTTCAAATCAGTTTCGGACGATATAAGCTTTCAACAAGTGATCACGGAAACCCTCCGACGTCTGCCTCCCAGTGGAGAGAGGTCAAATGGGGATTGCTGCTGTTTGGTTGTTCTACAACTTCACATTCACTCAGTCCTACCAGATGCATGCGCAACCACATAGACATGTTTTCCGGGTTATATTTCAACTCTGTAGAACTTTTGGCACTTTCAACCAAAATTTATACTGACGGGAAGCTCGGTTGCCACCGACCACCTAGGCCCCGAATCCTAACTCCTAATCGAACTCCCTCAATCCCCTACAGAAATATCTACCAACTCCGCTCGGACAGAGCCCCCTTATTTACTTAAGAGGCACCGCTGAGAGGACACCAGCATGTACCACCGATTGCGAGACAATCCTCGGCACTCCCGGGGGCCGGGTGTACCGCGAAGCCACAAGGCTTCGGGAAATCGGGGGGTGGAATGGCACAAACAAAACCCGCCTTACGGGCTAAGGTGTATGAGACAGAGTTTGGTGTGAGATCCAACAATTAAGGCTTGAGGTGGGATCTGCAGTGTAATTGCTTGGTTTGGTCTACGGGGGAGATTTCTGTCGGGCGTGATTGGGAATATTACACACGGGGGAGTGCATTAGGAACACGCAGCTTCTGGAGAATGTTTAGAGGAGAGATACAATTTCAGCCATCATTTCAGAGTGCCCCTGTCCTCTATGACTCTTGGATTGATTTATAGTAGGATGGCTTCCTTGGCACCAAGAATGAGTAGTAGCCAGGGGGGGGTTGGGTGGGGGGCGCAGACGATAAATCTAGTTAGGACGAGGATTTCAAGAGCGAAGTTAGCGCCAAATATCAGAGTCTAATAGCCGGGAGGGAATGCGACACGCAGAAAATGTTGCCGGGAATAATGGCGGGGGGTAGAAACTAGAGGAAAGAAATATGGGAAAAGGCGGTTAGCTAATGCTTTTGAATATTAATACCTTATCAGTCGGTATGCGATATTCACCCACCATGTAATCTACCCTGACGAGTGACCTAGTGTGACCTCTCACCCTGGGGGGCCGTGGGCTGTATCACAAAGATAACAGAAATCTGGTTCAATATTCTGGGAAAATCATGGGAGGAGTCACCAATTGGTAGAAAGCCTCTTTTGACTATCAATTCAGCATGCGGCCCCATCCTTATTTTGGGAATTTTCTGGGTGGATAAGGGTTTGAAGTACAGTACAAGCACCCGCTTGTGCCCCGCAGCTTACTATGACATAATTCATTCCCCTTAGGCGATCGCGACCTATCCCTACCCATGAGTTTACAGAAACCAATGCATAATACTAACCACCGGCGGGACTATAGGCCCGTCATTGGTCCCCCTGAATCCTGGTCGGGGAATTGGAAGGGTTTATTGCTTATGCTAATCCACTGTCGCCGTCGTGAATGGCGCTGGACATCCCCCTGTCTTTTTTCCTTTTCTAATAAAGTGAGTTATGAAAAAAAAAAAAAAACTCCCCCCGGGGCGCTGGAGATCTCTTGCTCCCGGAATTGCCATTCCCAAATTGCTCAGCACGGAGTGGATGAGGAATCCGGAAGCGTTGGGAGTATTTTGAGAACGGATATTTCTTCCAAATGAAAGTATAGTGACCTTTGAACCGAAAACTTGTGATGTTGCAAGGTATTGTATGGCGAGACCCAAAGCGGCCCGAGACTTTGTATGCGGCACCACCGCATGAGCTACAACGAATGGTGTCCTAAGTTATAAGTAGCTCCTTAATTCTATGGTCCTTCTTTTCGATCCTCCCAGCTTCAAACTTCCCTCTTCACGCTTTCTGCCTCGAACATACCCAAAATTAAATACCTGGTTTTCCTTGGGTCCAGGGGGGTGGTTGACAAAGAGGGGTGTTATGGCGCAGGACAGAAATTTGCTCCCGCTTTTTGTCCAGTGTTTGGCTCGGCGGGCACAATACCACGGACTTTCCTGAGCGAAATGCTCTCCCTAAAACAGTTATGCCTTCCCTAACCCCATAAATCAAACGTTTAGCACTAATGCGGCGACAACAAGCAGGGTGATGGTATCGGGAGAAAAAAGGTCCAAATGGTGATGATTATCCGGATAGAGAAAGGCGGGGTGGGATTCGTGCGTTCTGCATATTCTTTATGAACACAGAGTGCGCCAGAATTTCTCCGGATTCGACCTCCACATAGGTTTTTCCCGTACACTTCTGTCGGCGAAAAAGCCAAAACGGTACTCAAACGAAAGGATATCATAGTTTCCAAAAACCCGGGAAAACCCATTAGCTCTCGTAGCATGCCTCTGTATATGTTGACTCTGTGGAAAGACTCCCGCGGAGTGAGGTAATTTCCAATTCCTTTGTAATCCCAGAGAAAGGCAAGGCCAACAATAGCCAAGACATTTCCCTAGTGTTCCCCCGTGCGCCAGTAGCTGTAGCATTTTTCGTATTAGCTCGCTATGAGGTAGTCGCAGGCAGCTGGTTTCGTGCTCCCAAAGTATCTAGGCCGTGTTGCCGAACATATTTTCTACCTGGGAGGAAGGCTGGCATGCTCGCCTACATTCCTCTAACCTTTCACCCGCGATATTCCTACCCCCCCGTAACCTACGCTAGGGGAGGTTTGGAGAGATCCTAGGGCAGCGAATCGGGCAATGTCTTCGGGAGGGGCGTCGTAGCTTCGATAAGCTATCCGGGCAACTCCTACTTATAGATGGGATTACTCCCTGGCTTAGGGGAAGGTTCAGGTGACGGATGCTGGGCTCATGATATTGCAAGATGATGACCTAAATCCAAGGCTGCCGGCGAGGTCGATGTCCAGTGTCTGTTGGCCAGGCGACCGACCTACCATGAGAAATCTTATCACAAGAGCGGTGGCAGATGTCTTGTATATTTAAGGATGGTGAGCACATCCTATGTATACACTAAAATCTCCAGATTCCCGCCATAGACGACTCTCTCTCTGTGTTTCTCTCTCGCCAGAACATCCTCCCCATCCCCCGAAAGCAGAACCAACAATGCTAGGCTCCCTTTCTGCTCCAACTACTATCAGTCAGAGGGAACCAGGCACTCCGTTAACGACGAACCCTTCTGACTATCTAAGCCTAGGTCCTTGGCCCTTGTGCACACAGCTCGCGCGTTATGTGACCTCCGTGGTTCACAACAAGAACCCCATTGCCGTATGAATGCTTTGGGATAGGCAATCTGTTGTCATCCGGTAATCGCAAAAGTGTCGGTCGGGAGGCAAAAAGCTAGGGCAGTTGGCTGCCTTACACCGCAAACTATCATCAGAGACTCACAGCTCGGAGCTGCTCGGGCATGAGATTTCAAGAAAGGGTCATGAAAGCAACTACTTCTCTGAATTATTGAACCTGAAAACTTATAGTTGGCGATATTTTATGTTTGGAACGGTAAAATCTGGATATGACCCGAGACATTGCATGGGTGTGCGGGAACTAATGACGCCCAACGTAATTCTATATTATTAGTAGTCTCCCAATTCTGCAAACTTTCCAACCCCCTCGCTGTTGCAATGTGATCTCCACCTGTCCCTTTGGTCTTCTTTGACCTAAAATGCAGCGACCGAGTTGGTTACTGGTGAGGAAATAGTAGTAAAGAGGACTCGGATTTGCGTAAAACTGCAATGGGTTAGTTCCTTTTCTCTAGTGCTCTAAAAAAGAGGTGTCGTGGTAAACATGCGCCGATTCCCAAGACAACGCTTTCCGATGTTTCTCCGCTGTTATTAGTTTCACCAGACGAGCGACCCGGGGGTTAGGTACTATACTATGAGGAATGTCAGTTAAACATTATTTCCCCATTTTTGCTTCCCCGTATCCTTATTTTTTTAGACACAACGGGAATGCTGGCTCACAGGAACAAAGGCAGGCAGGAAATAGGAAACATTGTCCAAATATCCCAATCAATTCGAAACAACTACTTAAACAAACGCGTGCTGTACCCCGGGGTTATCCCCACACTATATCGGAATCATCAAAACGGCGAGGACCATGGAGCCGCATCATAGGGCGGGATCTTCAACCGAACGCCGCTGACGGCCCCGCGGGCCAACCAACAAATTCCCACACAATCCATCTGGTAACCACCCATGCTTATTCCTCATATGAGCAACTAGGTTATCATGTCTTTTGATTCCCTTTTTTCCAACATTCACACATCCAGGAAACGGACAGTCGACTCGCTCGACAAGGTGTTCCGCCTCGTAATGCCTATTGAGTGATCGTCTCGTCTTGAATGGGGTCCGACGAGTGCAACCGGATGCCTCACAAGTGTAGGAGGGGCTAGAACAAGTGTGTGGACCGCTTCTCCGAGTTAGTCAATGCGAACGATAAACATGCAATGGAAGGCGTCGAGAACCTGTTTCCTGAACATCTGGGGGACCCACAAAAGAATTTATCCCTAGTAGGCCTCGGGGTATCAGAGGTTTCGGCTATCCATTGGGGAACAGGCGTGTCATCGGCAGGTTCGTTTGCTTGGTAACCAATAGCCGTGTAGTTGAGCGATGGCCCAAGAACGGAGAAGCCACCGTCAGATGGAGAAAGTGGAAGTGGTCCAAGAACCGAAAAGAAGCCATCGTCAAGTGGATAAAGCGGAAGTGGTCCAAGCTCGGTAGGAAGCGGTGGCGCAATCTCGGTAGCGCTAGTCTGACCGAGCTGAAGCGAGGGGGAAGTGTTGGTCCTGCATGGCACCCTGTCGATAAGTGAGGCACCCAACACCGGCACACGTGATACGTCCCACGTGAGCCGCAAAACAAAGGATAAAAGGGACTCACTCAAAATACATTGTGAAAAGCCCGTTAAACAAAGTGTCGCGAACTGGCGCGAGAAGTTTTTGACAGAGAGGATGGGGGAACTTTAGGGGTATTTGAAGAAGGAAGCAAGCAACTGCCTCTTTTTGAGAGCCCCGCTCAACCAGTCTGTCTCTGAGGGGGCGGGCCTGTGGTAGGCGTCAGTTGAGCCTCTCGTGTTATACTGCGATGGCATGCAGATAACTGGGTCGTTAGTACTCGAGCACTACCGGAGAGCCACCGAGCCGCCTGCTCCCTGCCCCTTGCAAAACCAGCTCTCCGATATACCTGGATGCTATATCCTAATTACGCATAAATTTGTCTATAAATTTTTTCCTTGCTCGACTCTGGATAAACTCTACTGGTAGGGTAAGTTCGGTGAAGAACGGGCGGCAGGCCGAAATGCAAAAGTGGGCGGGATCCGTGAGGCTTCATGGTGGCTCGGGCTGTAGCCAAATCCCCACGCGTTGAGTCTTTCCCATTGGCGAATGAGGGGGGTAGCTGCTCTCTTATTGGGATTTATAACTACGTCACATGCATCCCGACGCTGCCCAACCAACTGTAAGGGTCTGGTGTGGTTGCTAGCTCTAGCTTTTCAGGGCACAGGGTTCTGAGCTCCTCCAATGCGGCGAAACCACGTTCTCGGGAAGCGCCATGAGGCTCGCCTCACAAACCATCTCCCGCGAGAAACGGAGGTTGAGGTGGAAGTAGCTTAGTAAGAGAGAAAACTAATATTTTTTGTAGATACTCCCCGTTAGTGGGAGAAAGGGTCGTACTCGGTCTATGGTGCTGGGATCTTGAACTGGGCTCACGTCTTTGGCTTCCCTTATCGACTAGGCTTGAATCTTTCCTAGTGGTAGTGTGGTAAGGGGCAGAGCAGGAAGGCCTTGAGGAGGGTTCATGGGAAGGCGTAATATCCGGCTTCAGGCCAATTGAAGTCTCTACGTCCTCTAAACTTCAGCATTTTCTCGCTCCCCCAGCCCCCCATTTCCCTTGAACGGTTCTCTTCCGCACCCCCCACCCGGCGATTTGGACTTCCGCTCTCTTTGACGGCATATCAAACACCGGAGGCAGCGAGCTATAAATCCAAGTTCAGGGGTCCTTTTAACCTCATTATTTATTCCTCAGATTCTCTCCTTATCCTTGCTCTCCACTTTATCTCAATTAAGGATTGTAGGCTTCGCAACTCCTGCTACCGCCACCGCCACCAGTAGTCTAGGCTTCGGATCCTGATTCCTCTTAAAACCACCTCTACTAAACAGAAACACCTCACAACATCGATTGCGACACAGCCACTAATGGAAAACCTACTGGGGCACCAAACGCCTGGAAGGCAGTGCCAGAGTGGTGAAAGTTGGACACGCGCCGCCGGTCAGCGGGCCGGAGTAGGTGGTGAGGGATGATTCCCCGTTAGCGGGTTGCGGCTGGGTGAGATGGGGGCCCAATTATAATTTCTCCTCTGGGCATGCTAGGCGGATTTTAATGCCCCTCGGAGAGCCCGCTGGAGAGCCTTACAGCAGAATTGAGCTGGAGAGTGTCGCCAGCATAAAGGCTCGAGCCTGATTTTGCTAGGGTCAGTGGGCATCGCTCACTCAAACCAGCCGGTGGAGCTGCAGGAAATACTCCCCAATCATTGAATGCATGAATAACAAACCCCCACTCCCTCTGCCAGCGCAGAAGCTTTCTGCCTAGCCTCCTTAACCCGTGCCAATAAATTGAGCACCTTGTGTTTACAGAATACCTGATCGCCTTTCTCTATCCGCAAGCCCTCTATAGCATCTACCTTGATTTCTGGTTTCAACCTCTCACGACTCGAGTGAGCTTTTTGGGAGCACTAGGGCCCTCGCTTTCCGCTAGGCTACTAATTTTGCGAGATAAGGGCTTCCTAGGGGTTGAAAATTTTTAAGCTATCATATTAAATCTTTCTATTCCAACCTACATCTCATTTACGAGGTAATCCCGAAGATCCCCCTCCCCCCCTGTCTCCTCCTGCATGTGCCTTACCCATTTGGGAAGCCAGAAATAAAATTGCTTGAAAAGTTCAAGCGTAGGCTGGGAATCCCTGGAAATAGAGTCTGAATAAGCTCTACCCAGCTCGGCTAGGGGATATATCGGCTCGTGGAGCTCGGGCCAAGCCTTCGAACTGCCCAGTTCGTGGGGAACATCAGGGAGATCACTCCCTGACGAAACCGAAATTGGGTGAAGAACTTTTGGAGGTTACGGTTTGTGGGTATTTTTTAATATCAGACGAAATAAAAAATTTAGCCATCGGCTTAGAGGGTTTCTCCTTTCGACTCTGAAAGCGCTACAAAGAAGAATCAGTTCCAGGCCTAGAGCCCATAGGGCAGCGTAGCGATGGCCGAATGTGAACTAACTTAGAGGGTAGCAAGAAAAGAAGAATAGGCCGAGGTAGTGCTTTAATACCGGTATTAAACCACTCTAACTTCGAGCGTTGGGTTATGTCATGAGACGGTATCGCCGAACCGGGGGAGCGGGAGTGACTCCACAACCCCGATTATGGGTGCAGGCGAGATACTCGTAGTGGGAGTAGTACCGTAGGAGGCGTTTTTAAAGGTTTGAACTACGAATGAAGGCCAGAGCTGGTGAAAATATTTCTTGTAGCTCCGATTACTAACTCCACCCTTAGTTGCACTGCTTGTTCTAGGGGTGTGCTAGGAAGGAGGAAAATACTAGTTCGCTAGTGCGACCTCCTGGCGACTTTGAGGGGGTTACTGTTGGGGGTAGTTTACCCTTTTTGTATGATAACTTGTTCCAAACATTCTGTACCATAACATCTAACCCCTAGCACCTCAGGTATCCGGCAGGAAGCCTTCCTCTGTGTTCTGACCACGTGGGGGATATCTGTTCATTACATCCTCGCGCTCTTTTTTCCCCCTTCCTTCCTTTCTTCCATATTCCCGTTCGGGTGGTCTGCACAATGCATGATTAGCTTTCTATTCCGTCGGAAGTAGGAAACAAGGCTTCCGGGCAAGGATACGGACTACAGACCTTCACCAGCCTACCGGTTATCATAGCCGATGTCCAATTCGTGCGCCTTTGGCACTAGCGGGGGATATGTCGCGACCCTGTGGATTATCATTTTACTACCGACAGCGCACCAATAACATGGGGGCCGTGCATTTATCCTTTTGAGGAAAGCTTCGCCAACTCTGCTGATCCACCATCGCCGGAAGTTGCATCAAATATTCCACCTATCATGGGATATGGTAGGCCGCCATGAAACCCTGACCTATCCAAATTTTGTACCAAGACACCGGTTCTCAAAGACGGAGACCTCAACGCTAACCAGGTAAGGAATTACCAAGGAACACGGAGAATGCGGAGGAGTGGGTCTTTCTGGAATGCCACTATCGGCAGCTTCAAATCGATAACTTGTGCCGGCTTAGCGAATAGTATAATGTGGGGATTCTGAAAGCAACCTAGAGCGGTGTACGGCGTGTTGCACAATAAAAATATGGTAGATACTTATGTCGTGAGCTACTAATAGTCCCTTAATTCCGCAATCCTTCCTTTCAGTTCTCCTGAGTGCATACCGCTCTCTGCCTGGCTTTCGACACTATCCCGCTTATGACGGGATACTAAGGTTTCCTGGATGAGTGGGGGTCAGTTCCTAAAGCGGCTCAGCTCGCTATAATGTGGCATTCGGCTTCTGGATTCTGTCCTAGCACCTAACTACTCCCCTGATTCCCGGAAGATCCAGCATTGTGCAGGTCGGATCATCGAGAGGCTCTCGGCAAAAGAGAAATGAGTGCCGAGCGACATTGCATGAATAGCTGGTCGCGGTGCAGTACACGGACTTATGGATGGAGGTGTTAAGATACTATCCTCAGATAACCGGAAAACCACCAGCATTGCGGGAAAAAAAAACTGGGGCCGTTGGTTAATTTGCGTGCAGGATAGCAATTTCCGGAGACTTGCAGCTCAACTCTACCTATAGCAGAAATTTCATGAAACTGCAATGATCTCGAGAAGACCTGCCTCATCCACCGGGGAAAGCGCAGGGCCCGCAAATTGCTGACTGGCCATGTTTACACTACTACAGTGCTGTAAGATCTGGCAGTGACTTGAGAATTTTTATGGGGTGACGTACAAATTGTGAATGGCTAACACCTTTGTTCCTGGCTATTATTGCTCCTCTGTTCCATAAATATTTTGTTCAAATAGCTCCACTGTAGACCGCTTTCTCCCTGTTTTTGGTTTGCTTTGATGGAGTGGAACCCGGGAGTTAGTTGAAGGGGAAGGGGGAATTATCGTTAAAGAAGGCTCAGCTCTTGTTAAAGCGTGCAATCAGGGGGGATAGGACGGTAGGACCGTTGGACAAGGTGCACCACCTAGTAATGTCTATCGAGCGCCTTCTTCGTCTTGAACGGGGCTGTCCGGGTACAGCCCGGTGGGTTACAAGTGAAGAAGCGACGGCAGCATGTATGTAGGCCACTCCTGGGCGCAAATGGATGAGAAAGATAAACATACAATTGAAGGGGATGCGAACCGATTTTCAGAGCGCATGGATGACCCACGAAACCCTTTGTCCCTGCAAGAGGTGAGGTCTGTGGGTAGTTGATATAGTTCTCAGCGAGGGCATTATCAGTAGATTCATTAGGTTGATACTCTAGGGTGCCGCGCTTGAGTGGTGGGCGAGGAACGGAGTAGGAGCCATCGGCGTGAAGATAAAGTAGGAGTGGTCCAAGCTTTGCAGGGATCTGGTGCGCAAGCCCCGTGCCACCGGCCAATATTACGGTAGCTGCCAGTGCAGGCGACTAGGAAAGGCATTGCTGTCCGCTCAGAAAAAAAGAAGAAAAAAAGAAACATACAGGAAGTCCATCTTCGAAATGTAAAGTGCAGAATTTTTTCTAAGCGGTCAAGAAAAGCTTGGGCAGATAGGACGGGGGAACTCACGTGTATTTGAAATTTTTGAAGAAGAAAATTGCCCTTACACAAAGTATATGCATGAGCCTGATGCAGATGCAGCCCCTCTTTCCAACCAACCATACGCGATATAAACGAGCCTGTGGCAGGGATACATTGAGCCTTTCGTACTACATATGGCTGGTACAATTTTCGATATTACTGGGTACCAATCTGGGAGGGGGGCCGCCTTCCGCTTTCCTCTCCCCCAGCAAAGCCTGCAGCTCTCCCCGGTTATTCGAGTATCCCGAGCGGAAAGCTTCGCTTGCCTATGGGTTCATTCATAACTTTAGAAAAGTGAAACACCTATGATACCGTAAAAGCTCGGTACACCCACTATCTCCGATCGGCCTCTAATCTCCTTGTTTCGAGACAAAATACCTTGAGAAGGAATAGTATTTCCCAGACGCGTTATAGCTCTTGTATGAATCTATTCAGCTAAGTCTATTGTGGCTTAGTAGGGTCGTTCCCTTTGCGCATAGTGCCCGGCAAGCGCGCCAAGTCCCCGATCCCCCATACTGGATCTACCGAGTTTTTACGGTACTTAAACTAACATT